CTTGTGTCATTTAAATATGGCCAGAGAGGTGTCAGTCTTATTCACAAGATAGACTGATGACAATGTCTTGGATTAGTAAATGGTGGTTAATTTAACTCTTCAAAGACTACAATTTGGTCTGAAATATGATCTCCAATTCTTTCACTGATTGAAGAAATTCTTGAGCAGTATTTAGCAAGATGATGTATTGGGCAGTGAAGAAAACTACTTTGCTACATTTAGTTATCTGCCTGTTAAGGACAAGCAACTACCTCATACTGTTCAGCTTTTGCCCTACTCTTGGTATTGAGCCCTCTTTTAAATTAATGTTATGAACATTTGAATTTATATTCTTTTCGTTCTCATTACATTTGGAGATATATATATATATATATATATATATATACACACAAAGAAATGCATTCCTTTCAAGTGTCTGGTTACAAGTTGATTTGAATATGCATATTAACAGAAGGATTTTCATGACCACACCCTACTGTTACATCCAGGGTTGACCAAATTCTTCAATTGAAATTAATCCAACTGGATAGTATGAGAAAAAAAATTGAATTTTTTGAATATCTGACATAAGACCCAGTTGGTGATAAATTTTCCAGCAGCAAGACCAAGTGAAGAGTAGGTACTCATGGTTTCACTTTATTTTATTAGTTAAAACCCTGTCCAGTCTAAAGTTCAAATCTAGACGATTCCAAGTACTAACCCACTTTATTGTAAGGCGACTTTTTGCATGCTACTAAAATCAACATCTGGTTATCTCTGGTTCTCACAACTTCACAATTCTCATTCCAATCATTCACCAGGCACAAACTCATTCACCATTAAAATTTACACCAGTAACTGTTACATTCCTTCCTCAACCAAAAGAATTCTTTCTAACCAGTTACAGTGTATACTGGTAAAATCTACACTAGTTACTGTCATATGTTTAGAACAGTTTAACAAAGTTTGACAACACCTGAAATATATATTATATATAGTGGGTAGAAAACAAAAATATTTGTACAACATGAAATTTTTTAAGTTATAACTTATGAAAAAGCTTAAAATCCATACAATATTTCGACACTATTGCATAATACTGTAATATGCAAAAAACAATTAGAAAACTTTGTTATAAATAAATGAATTTCAAAAAAAAAAAAAAAAAAAAAAACAAAAAAAAAAAAAAAAAAAAAAAAAAGGATTTGTACTAATCATCTAAAAAGGCTTAGATTACCTTTATTTACATAATTCTTTGTAAGATTTTGCTAGATTCTTCCAATTATCTTATTACTGAAACAATCTAAAACATTCCACAATTCGTTTCTTATATAAGGTTATCTCTGCACACAAATCACACACAATAATTATCATCATGGGGAAAGGCAAAGAAACATCAAATTCACAAAAAGAATTGATCATTAAACATTGGAAGGAATGCAAAAGATATAGGAAAATAGCAGATATCCTGAATATACCATTCACTACTATTAGTTCCGTTATTGCTAAGTATGAAAAGGTGAAAACTGTTGAGAATAAATTGAGATTTGGTACACCATGCAAGATTTCTCCCAAATCAATGAGAAGAATTCAGCACAAAATTCAAGAAAATCCAAATATTACTCAGAGAAATAGAAGAATTAAAAGCATCAGGTATTATTGTTATGAAGCAAACAATTAGCAATGAACTTCATAGAAGTCAACTAAGATCCCATTCTCCAAGAAAAACTCCACTGCTATTGAAGAAAAATAGGGATGACCAGTTAAAATTTGTTCATTTGCATAAGAATAAACTTGAATCATTTTGGGAAAGTGTTTTATAGACAGATGATGCAAAAATTGAACTCTTTGGACATAATTCAAGGACTCCTATTTGGAGAAAAGACAGCCAAGCCTTTGCACCAAAGAACACAATATCAACAGTGAAATTTAGTGGAGGCAATACCAACATATATGATACTCATAATTTAGAGATAGATGGTAGAATGAATTCAAAAATATACCAAGATGTTTTAGACTAATTTCTTTGCATCAGTAGTAGAGCTTGGACTCCCTAATGAATATGTTTTGCAACAAGATAATGACCATAAACATATGGCTAAATCAAAAAAGGCTTATTGAAAACAATGTCAATATACTCAAATGGCCATCACAGTCTCCAGACTTGAATCTAATAGAGAATTTCTGGTGTTTATTAAAAATTTAAGTTAAAAGAGTTCTGAAAAATATTCTGGACCTAAAGAGAATATGCAAAGAAGAATGGAGTAAATTAACAATGGAAACTTACAAATCATTGATTAAAAGCTACAGAGTGATTGTTGTTGAATTGAGTAAAGGATATGCTACAAAGTATTAAATAGGTATTATAATTTTGTAAAACGTTTTGCCAACATTTTCTTTTTCATTAACATAACATTTTTCTGAATTTTTTTGCATACTGCATCATTATGCTATGATATACAAATATTGTATAGATTTTATAAATCAACTATATTCAATAAAAATAAATTAAAGGTGTACAAATATTTCTCCCCCCACTATATATCAAAATAAAAAAGAACAGTCAGATTTAGAATCCACAGTTCTTTAGCATTTATTTTTAAAACCTGTGCTCAATACACAGAGCATAATATTTTAAAATATGTATTCATCACGACACAAATTACCAGGTTTTGGAACTAAAAAGTAAACTTTAAATTAAACTTATAACTAAACTGTTTGTTCCATTCTCAAGTGATATTGAATAACTTGAAGAAAAAAAAAAAAAATAAAAAAAAAGATTTACCTTTTTTAACCTACATAGTATTATATAGTTTAAGTTGGATGGAGACAAAGGATTACAAAATTTTAAAAGAGTATTGCCTTTTTTGATGAATCAGGATACAAGTCTAATGTTAAGATGGCAAAATGTAAATATAGATTAAGGTTTAGGTGTGGGTTTGTAATTTCTGCCTGTCGATACTGGCTTCATTATGAGAGTTTCATCCTGTCTGACTTTCTTTTTTTTAGGGGTATACATAAGATACACTACAATACATTGGCATTTTTATATATTATATTATGTATTTTTCATAAAATAAATTGGGATTGTCTTAAAGAGGCTTCAAATATGATTAAGTTATATTCTATATATTTATATCTATTTATAAAGATCTAAAATTCTACATATTAGTATACTAGATACAGTATTGTTCAAATTAAGATTTACAATTTTGGAATTTAATTATACATTTTTTACTTTCATATTTCTGATCAAATAATAGATATATATTTATAAAATTTCTTTATGTTTTAACGTAAACAATGCAGTGTCTACAAAAAACTGTTATTTCTTTGATTTAAATTTTTTTTTTAGAAATTTAATATAGGCACAAAGGTCATGGGTCATTTAAAAACAGTTTGCTTTTTTTCTTTTTTTTTTTAATAATTTTCATTTTACTGTGGGTGTTTTATTTGTTTCTTTTAAGTGCCATAAATATTTGGATAGGGATGTTTGGTTACGATACATTATTTTTGAAGGAAGACAGATGTTGGCTCCACCTTAGTTTAAAATTATTTTTAGTGCTACCAATATAAATGTTTTAATATTAGGATTCTCAATATACGAGATTGTACATTGGTAAACTATAGTCTGTGAGACATTTATTATTCAATGGACAATTTACAGGAACCCTTCAGTTATATAATTTTTCTTTACTATTATTTATTTCTAGATCACTATTTTTTTGTTCTGGTTTAAGTATTTAAAATTTTATTATTGCATTTTATAATTTTTTTTTTCTAAATTATCAGTACAACTATAGCCTAATTTTAGGGTATATTTTATTATTTTGCTAAGGAGATTATTTCTTGGAAAATGTTTTTCAAAAAGGCGAAGCCAACATCTGTCTTCCTTCAAAAATAATGTGTATTGTAACCAAACATCCCTATCCAAATATTTTTGTCATTTAAAGAAACAAATAAAATGCCCACAGTAAAATGGAAGTTATTAAAAGAAAAAGTTGTAGGTCTTTAAATGATCCATGTCCTTTGTGCCTACATGAAAAGTTAAGTTTCTGAAGAAAAAGATTTACTAAAAAAAAAAAAAATTTTTGTAGACACCACATTAGGCTTGCTTTAAAGCATAATTAAAAAAATTCATAATTATATATCTTATTTGATCACAAATATGAAAGTAAAAAAAATGTGGAATTAAATTCCTAAATTTTAAATCTTAATTTGAACAATACCATATCTAGTATACTAATAAATATAGTATTTTACATCTTTAAAAATATGAATATATAAAATATGACAACCATATTTGATGCTCCTTTAAGACAATTCCAATATATTTTATAAAAATTAAATAAAAATACCAATGTATTGTAGTGTATCTTATGTATGCCCTTAAAAACAGACAGGATGACACATCCTCATATAAAGAAGCCAGTATCGACAGGCAAAAATTACAAACCCACACCTAACCTATATTTACATTTTGCCATTTTAACATTAGACTTGTATCCTGATTCATCAAAAAAGCAATACCCTTTTAAAATTTTGTAATCCTTTATCTCCATCCAACTTAAACTATATAATACTATGTAGGTTAAAAAAGGTAAATCTTTTTTTTTTCAAAAGTTATTCAATATCACTTGAGAATGGAACAAAAACTTTAGTTATAAGTTTAATTTAAAGTTTACTTTTTAGTTCCGAAACCTGGTAATCTGTGTCGTGATGAATACATATTTTTAAATATGTACATAAACAAACATGTTATGCAATACTTTAGCATGATCATCAGAATTAAAAAAAAAAAAAAAAAAAAAAATCATAAAACTTACCTGAAATTCAATAAGCTCATCAAACAAGTCTGCTGGAGACATATTGAAATTAAAGAAGAAAGACTCATTCCAAAAAGGACTGTGGGTGGATTTCTTAACCCGTGTCTGTTTTGTTTGATTGTAAACATTAACCCTTGCCAATGGCTGGATGTTGGTACCTTGAAGTTGGCGGGCTTCTAATACTTTTATTCTGATCTAAAAAAGAAAAAATTGACAGTGTTTTTAATCATAGCTTTCAAGAGGAGAAAAAATGTCATTCTGAATACCTCAAAACTCAGAACTGGAGGTGTAGCCTTAGTGCAACTTAAAGACCATCAAGAAAGATATTACTGTACATGAGCAGAATCATATTGATAGGTTTGTCAGCAAAGAGATGCCAATGAGAGAGATGGATTAAATATTCCTATTTTTGCCTTAATATAAATTAAGTGTTAAAATGTTTGTCAGTTTTCCCTATAGTCCATATTTGGTTCCTTAATTTTTTTTTTTTTAAATTAAGAGAAATGCTGTTAACAGAATTTGAGAGAATATGACAAGGCATCTGATGGAAAAGTCTGAAGAACTTTGCAGAGGATTCTGAAAATGGAAGAAACTATGGCAAAAAAAAAAAAAAAAAAAAAAAATTCTGGTGATTATCTTGAAGGCTTGTCTGCAATTAACACTTGACAAGTTTTGAAATAAGTGTGTGCCATTCCAAAATATGGCCAGCTTAAAGATGTCTAATAAAACCTGGAAAAAGCATTTTGAGGAGCTGTAGATTTATAGTACTTTGGAGTTCATTTTGGTCTAATGTGTCAGTTATAATGATTGCAGGTCTTTGGTCAATTTCTCAATGATTATGAGAAGTTAAAGACTTGAAAAAGCAAGGCATTATGTTGCCTGAAATAGCAGTTTATTGACTGGGTTGGATAAAAAAAAGAAAAAAAAAATTCTTCCAGCAGACAAATATGCAAAGAAAGAACTTTGTAGATGTGTGTAGGTAACTTTATGTCAAAACTAAATGACTTGATAATTTAGAGAGCAATCTTGTCCAATGCTGTTGGAATTGACAAGAATCTTGGCATAAGAGGGCATTATGGAAATCTGTAGATCAGAGTTGCATTTTGGGATATGGGTAATTATGGATATATATATGAATGTTGATGAAAGGGAATCCCTTGACAAGTGGTTCTTTTGAAGATAATGGGTCATACTTGGAAAGATCAATCAGACTAACCAATACACTTAATACTCCCACCCCTACCCCAGTCAGTCTTAAAGATTCCATGGCTGTTAAGATTAACAGAAACATGACCTCTGGTGATCTGAGGGTCAAGTGTAGAAATTAGGACAATGTTGTTTCATAAAGTTCTAATTTTATTATGCTAACAGATGATTGCATTAAGGCTGACTGTGTTATACCCCAATCCAACTAATGTTGGCTATCCCCACTACATTTTTTTTCAGTGTACCTGCACTTGTGATCAAGATAGACTTTGTACTTGAGGACACTCAATCACACTCAATGTCATGGTTGAATGCCTCAGCATAGGATAATTGTCAGCAAGTTAGTTGATTCACTGTACATCCTCACCACATGTCCAAAACTTGTGGCCTTTTGCCAAACTAAGTCATGTGATTTAATCTACTACCCTGCTAAATATACTTTGTGGTATGCTAAGAAATAAAAGTCTAGTTTAAAAATAATAATAATAATAATAATAATAATAATAATTGGGGAAGGGGATTCATTGAATCTTTCATTATCAAACAAACTCTGGTGAAATTAAAAAATCTCCCAGTAAATGGGACAAGCTTGTCCTTTTAGTGCAATGCTTGAATGATTATAAAGTTGATATATTGGTCAACATCTGTCACAGAAGAATAAATAAATATATGTGTACTAGAACAACAGTAATTGTCAATAATTAGCACCTGTGACATTAATCTATATTAACTTAGTCAAAGCTGATAAATGTATGTGAGGGTACGAGCCACTCAAAACTTAAAATTTTAAGATCAAATATGAAGATTTAAGGGAAAAAAAATAAATTTAAAAAAAAAAATTTGTTTGATCATTTTTGTATGTTGACTTGTATATACAGTTTTATTATAGTAACTTGTTTATTTATTCAACAAAACTTTCAATATCTGAGAAGTAAATAGTTTAAGGGTGGAGACAGTCAGCTGTATTTACTAAGAGAAAACATCTGATTTGCACATTGTAAGGGAGGCACAATCGAATGATGGACAGCAGCTCTGATTGAGGAATCAGAGAGCAGAGTTCTAATTCCAGTAGAGTTCATTACATTCACTGACATGAAGGGTACAGATCTTTCCCCCCAGCTATGGGTAAATTAGCAGGATAGATTAGGCCCTATATCCTTGGTTGGCAATGAGCATAGAAGGAAAAAAAAATGAATCACCACTGAAACAACTGTTGCTGTGGCTTCAGTACAAGTAGTATCCCTAGGACTCAACAGGTTTACGAGATTAGTGATTGAATATTTTCTGTTTTTCAAATTTCTATGAATTCAAGAATGCCCCCATTTGTAAATTTACACAAGATTTTTTTTTTTACTCCACTTTCAAGGAGAAAAATTTAATTAATTATAAATACTGTGGGGATATAATTACTCAAAATTAAAAATACCGATCAATAAAAACTAACATTTTTTATAGGCTACAAAGTTGTCATTTTATTTTGTATTAATAAAGTTGGTTACTAAACAACCCCCATTGCTCAAATGGTGATCAAGTTCATCTCTGACCAAATTTACGAGTACAGACCAGGGGCCACAAACATGTAGATCATTGTGTGTGCGTGAGGGGGGTGTCAAAAAAAAAAAAAAAAAAAAGTTTCCATGATCTCAAAACCAATTTCCTCAAATCAGGTAAATTTGTCCCTGACCACAGCTCATTTTTTCTTCAGTAGCAGTATTAAGCTTGACCTACCAACCAAGTGCAAACAGACGATCAATTTTACAACTTAGCACTGTTGGTGCTCAAACATTTTGTCTTGCCTTTTCAAACAACTTCAAACAATAGTATGCAGTTGTGTTGTGATGTCCTGCTATGGCAAAAAAAAAAAAAAAAACCTGCATATTGGACTGCCACGCATATTAGAAAGGGAAGAAATACTAATGAATAATACAGTACGAAAAGGTTAAAGTCAACAACATCTTAGTTCCGCACCAATGAAAGCAAAAAAAAAAAAAAAAAAAAAAACTTTACCTATACTTTACAAGAGAGTACATATATATCTTGCAATAATGTCTGCATTACCTTTTTCTTTTTAATTTTATATGAAGTAAATTTGACAATTCATATTAGGGAAAGCAAAAATAATCATAGAATTTATGCATTCATTTAAAAAAAAAAAAAAAAAAAAATCTTGATCAGAGTAGTAAAGAAAAAGTAACAAAAAGAAAAAGTTTCAAAGGCTTATTGAGATGGGGGTGATTGAGCTGATACAACCTTCATTCAAAGAATTTTTTTTTTTTAGATGGAGGGTAAATTGATTCAGTGCAAATTTGATTCAGTGCAAATTTGTCTTCTCCATTCAGTGCAAATTTGTCTTCTCCATTCAGTGCAAATTTGTCTTCTCCATTCAGTGCAAATTTGTCTTCTCCATTCAGTGCAGAAGAGGAACCAGAATGACAGATTAGACACATTGCAAAAAAAGAACAAAAATTTTTTTTTTTTTTTTTCTAATAAGAAAAGAGATTTGTTAACATTGATTCGTTTTTTTTACAGCTTAACCCATTGCTGGAGATTTAAAGCCAGAAAATACTTTTAAATTTCAAGTTTATGTGTTTTTTTTTTTTAGATAATGTTTTAAAGGGTACCAGTCTTAGTAATTCACTGGTTGGCAAAAAGGTAGATTCATACCTTTCCAAAGAATATTTGAGTGCAAGCTAATACAATGAGCCCAACAGAAATTGGAACTCTGCTTTGTTTAGCAATTCAGAGCCATTATCCATTTTCATGCCTGCACATCCAAGCTTACAGCACTTGGTATTCCCCAGGTGGTCACCCATATTTGTATTGACCAAACAAGACATGACTTAGCTTCAGTGATTGTACAAGAACCAGTTGCAACGTGTTCTGACAGTAAGCACGTAAACATTTGGGCAGAAAGTGACATAAGTTTTGTTTTTTTTCTCTCTCAGAACAAGGAGGCAAATAGGATCGAGCTATTAAACATGAGTTCTGGCTCTTCCCTCCACCCCTCTTCATTTCTCTACATCATGAAGCATAGCTGATTATTCCCTCACAGGTGGCATCAGAATTCTTATTAGATGGTCTATACAACCTAATGAGCATTTTCAGAACAACTTAATTCTAACTCATTGTACAAGTGTAATCTAACTTCTGGTCAAATGCCAATTGTTTCAATATTTTACTTCATTTATATTGCTTTTGATCATGTGTCTTTGTCGCCATATTTATTACGTTTCAGCCGTTGTATGCTCCAGCCTTCATCAGGTGGTTGCTTGTTGAAGAAGGCCAAAACATTGTAATAAATATGGCAACAAAGATGAGGACAATAGTCCAAATAATGTAAACAGTGTACATAATACCTCATCTCAGAAATATAGACAAATACCAAAATTTAAAATGCAAATAAAAATCATTTAGAGCCCACTTGGCTTCACATTTTTTTTTAAGACAGTTGTGTGAGACCTGTCACAGCCCTACTGAGAATTTCACTCCTGTGTAGTAAGGTAAGTCAATTTTGGAACTGTGATATTGCACTCAATTTGAAATTCAACATGGTAAATAATGACAATATTTCTTTCAAAATCCTTCACACTTTTTGAGGAAGTCTGAAGATTAAGCTTGAATCAAAAATCATAGCATTGCAATTTCATTCTGGTGATCAGTGAAAGCCTTATACCATGGCTTTATAAAGTTTAAAATTTAATGAAGCTTTACAAGTTATATATGTACAAAATTCATGGCACAAGCACATTAATAAATCATGTTGCCACCAAATAAAACTTTCATTAACTTCAAAGGTAAATCATAATGAACACTTTACTTATATTATAATGTAATACATTATACAGTGAAGTAGAGTTTTAGTGCCATTTTCAATTAGGAATGCAAATTTTAAATATTTTGTCTTATAATTTGTGCCCAGCAAATCTATTGCTATTTCTATGGAAAGTATTCAAACTACTTTCATGGTGGTATATACACTTAATTTTATT